GCGTGGGGAGCAGTGGGGGGTGGGGTTTGCGGGTTGGGAGGAGGGAGGCGTGGTGCAGAAAAACGAAAAAAATAGAAATTTGAAATTATAAAAAAAATTGTGGGGGAAAGGGTAGCAGGGTGGGTGTGGGTGTGAGTGGGTTGGTGAGGGTGGGGAAGGTTGAGAAGGAGTTTGAAAAATATTTTCCCTTATCTTGGTAAGGAAAATATTTTCCTATAATTGGAGGAAAATGACTAAATGAGTGCATAAGCAATTTTTTTTCCAAAACATTTAAGCCAGCCAAACATAGGAAAATTGAAAAACATTTTCCGAAAAATATTTTACTTCATACCAAACACACCCCTTATTACAATTCCGTATTTGATTAAGTAAATCCTCGTCGTATTAATCAAGCTAATCAAGAAAAATTTGAAAATTGAACAACTTTGGGCAATTATTGTTGGCACTTCGTCGGTTGACATGTAAAGATATCAATATAATCTATATTATATTAAAAGTGGGAAGCCTTTAATTAAAAAATTGAATTACTAAAATATCCTTCTTAAAAACTTAAATATCCTACTTATAATTATAATTAATAATAATAATAATAATACTAATTAAGAAGAAAAAAACAGATTTAATTTGAAGTGTCCTTTCTAAAAAGTTGTGTCTTTTTAAAAAGCAACTAACTATCGTTTCTCTATACAACCATTTATTTAAATCTTAAGAGCAAAACATAAAGATTTCGAGCAAACAACGAAGTAAGGAAGTGGGAGCACTGATAAGATATTATCTTTGGTTTGGCCCTTCCAAATGGTTTCATCGGTACAACATTCTATGGACCAACATAAACAGCACGTGAGTTTTTATATTTTTTCCCCTCAATTTAAAGAAAAGAATAGCTAACATATCTTTTACCAACGCTTTTGACCATTTCAAAACATAATACGGCTTCTGAAAAAAGTAGTATATAAAATTTCGAGGATTACATGTAAAAGATTATAATTAGAACTAGAAATAAAATTTAACTTTTGTACATTAACAATATAAAACTTTTTACACTATTTGATCTCTTAAAAGTAAATTAACATAAGTAATTACTGGGAATAATAGAATTCAAATGTTAAGTTGTATTGATAATATAATTTTTTTTATAGACATAGTTAAATTCCTATAAATATTACGAATTCATGATTGAAAATTAGAAAATAGAACTATAATATGAAAAATAAAATAAATTAAAGAGCATGGAGAGATTATTGGTAGTTAGATATCATAAAAGTAGAAAGAGAAATATAAAAATAGAAACTAATTTTATTTAAAGTATCCATTCTAAAAAAATAATCATATCTATTTAACTGGTTTCGCTGGTAGTCAATTGATAACATAAAAAGAATAGTTATTATTTTGACTTTCTGATACTTCTTTTTGGTCGGTTATACAAAACAATATGACTTTGGTCAGTTATACAAAACACATATGGATGGATAGGAATAAAAGAAGATTTCAGAACCAGTGTATTACATATGCAGAAAAAGTTCGAGAAATAGCTTTGTAGCTGCATATCAAAGGCCAGAATAGGAGCAAATGGAAGTCAATGTTAGAACAATTAAATAAATATCCTAGTGGAAATAATATATAAATCAGGAAGAGATTAGGAAAAGTACATAACTATAGTTATGAGAATAGACGTAAAGGATCTAGCTCTAGAGCCCCGTGGGCTAGCGAATATAAATATTTTCATTGGTTAAATACAAAATTTCAATTTGACCAAAATAAAATATGACACTCCTTAACTATTATGCCAATCCATCTTGAGAGTTAGACGTGTATTGCTATTTTTCTTTATTGAATCTACTACTCCAACTCTAAAAATTCTTCTTCTTCTTATTGGGTTGAGTAAAAGAAAAATAAATCTATTTCCATGTCTATGTATAATTATGTGCGTGTGCGCGTGCAATTCCATATATATATATATACACATATATTCATATATGATACATTTTGTGACAAAAATATTTATATTTACTTTAATGCTAAAGAGAACTTATCATTAGGAATGACATGTGAAAAAATATATTGCATCGACATTTGAAAGAAAATAATGTAATTATTAAGTTTTTCTATCACTAATAATATCTATATCTTTATAAATGTATATCATAAAATTGATAATAATATACTAGCTATTCTAAGGAAGAAATACGATGAACGAAATATATACATAAATAATAGTTTCTTTCAATAATAACTCTTGATATGTATGGGACTGTAAAAAAAGGCTACAATTTCTTAAAAACAAGACAAAAACTTTAACATGTGAAATATTTACAACTACAATTAATGTTAAAATATCTAAAAATAAGGAGATGATCAAGATGAATTTTGATATACTAGAATAACTAATATTGTTCAAACATTACTTTGTTGCATTGAGTTTTATCCTCAATACAATAATAACAATATATGTGCAACAACACATATAATAAACCATAAATAAATAAGGCGGAATACCCTCAAATCACATTAAAGTTGGCATGGATTATTAGTTACACCGCTAAACTATTCGTGGTCTTAATTACCCTCCTGAACTTGACTATTTGACGGTCATTACCCCCTTGGACGTTGCTGTGGCGAAGAGTATGGATATATTCTCTCCTACACGCTTGAAGTGAAGAAAAATTAAAAAAACAGCTTTCAAGTGGGTTATTTTTTAACCGTTAATCGACACACAGTCATATGTAATAATTTATTTGTTACAATTATGTATTTTTTTTTTGCTTCATCTTTATATACAATGTGTACTTTACCCCAACTTTTAGTCTTTTTTATTTCTTCTATAGATATAATGTCTATTTTTTCCAACAGTGTATTTTTTTTGGGCAAAATTTATGAAAATTTAGGTTGGAACTCCATCATTATAGGAAAATAAAACTCTAACTAAAATAATAGAGTACTAATAGTGTATTTCTTGTTATTTTTCTTTAGATATAATGGTTATTTATTTGAACTGTATATTTTTATTGTCCAGTCAAATCAGTAAGTTTATTTTGCTACATGTCCATTATCTTTTACCACATCAAGAAGGTATAGACAAAATAAAAAACTTATAATATTGTGTATTTTTTCATATTTCTTATATAGATGCAATGACTGTTATGCAATGACTTATATAGATGCAATGACAGTTCATTGTGTACAACAACAAACTATTATAGTGACCGAAATAGCAACAAATACTACTAAAGTAATGTCTCCTTCTCCCCAAATTTAAAGTTTAGTTACTTATATCAATAGTCTAGATGATATCCAATCATTTTTACCTCGATAAACAGGTCACCACATGATGATTTACATTAATTATTCACATAAACTTATACTATATTTCTTTTGAAGTTTTATTTTAATATTATTAATACTATATATTTTACCATATTATTTTATTACAAAAGTTGACTTCGAGAAACTAGTCTTAATGAAAAGCCTCCGTCTGCATGTTCCGTCAAAATACAGATTTGAAAAGCAAAATGAATAAAAGAGGAAAGAAACTCCTGCCAAGAGCTTCACTATCACCCTAATTCCCCTTCCCCAGTCACAAGCTTTAAGAACCTTTCACGTTAAAAAAGAAAAAAGAAAAAAGAAAAAAAGATTTGCAATTACTCTGGCAAATACACAATTAGAAACTGGTTTTGCCGCTCTTATTCAACTTAATCAATACCTGTTTGCACATATAGTTTGAGATCAATCCTTCGATTCTTCATGTGATTTTTAAAGTATCAAATTAAATCATTTTCACTATGAAGAACTACATAAGAACAACTGAATGGTGATGATAAATAATTTTGATTGTATCATCAATTTTGGATGCGCTTAAGCACGTGAGTTTAGCGAAAGCATTATCAGTAGTTGCATTCTCAATACATATAATTAATTACTTAATTATCACTTGGCTGAAGGTAACGACATCATATAGTGGAATTTCACTTTCGTATCAAAGTGTTAGAGCTATAAGGGACCACTAAGTTGTGCCACGGAGCCAAAACAAGAACGAATCATAATATGGATTTACACATTAAAAGTTGAGTGCGAACTGAAAGTGACCTCCTCTTCCACTTTACAAAAAGAAGGGTTCAATCTACCCAAACCAAAGTCATTAATTTATTCAAATAATTAAGAAATATAGTAATGCTAATAATTAATACTAAACCAAGGCTGTCCAATGAACACGTATCCCCTTAATGCAGTCTAGACTCTTCATTTACGTTAATCTTATCTTGTAATGATACCATCTGTCAACTAATTATCTCAACCAGATTCAATAGGTATATTAGAAAATTTAAAAGAAAAAAGAAGATAGTTTTTTTTCATCATGATTCTGAAAAGGGAGTAGAGACTATATGATTAGATTCTACAAGATATTTAGGGCTTTGCCGACTGTATGGTACGGATGAATGGGGTTGTTGGTGGGGGTACGTATGTCTACATGTATTGTACAAGAAATGTTCGGTTAGGGCCATAATTAAGTTGGCTAATAACAAATCAAGAGAGGACAACAGGACATATGCTTAGGCATGCACCATGTCGTGTGCCTGAGGTTATCCTAACGTGGACAGGGGCTAATTAAGCTAAACAATAAGCTGAAGACAAGGCATACACACACATTCTATAATTGATAAACTTTTTGTCTAACATCACTACTTGGAGGCCTAGGCTGATGCTGATCATTTATTCCTTTATATTTGTCCCATGTATAAATACGAATCATCTAAAACCATCTCCCTCCGTGTCTCTTCTTCTTTCTGATTTTGAATATGAACCACCAAACATTTTCCCCTTCTTGTGAATTGACATGCTACTGAAAACCCTTTTGAATTCTCTTTAAGTTCTTGGTTTCATAGTAAAGGAAAGAAAGTGGCATTTGGGTAAAGATGGTTAAGATAAGGAGCTACAATGGGCAAGTCGATAGATTTGGAGTAGAAGATCTTGAAAGAAGATGTGAAGTAGGACCAGCTGAGAATGTGTTTCTTTACACGGATACCATGGGTGACCCCATTTGTAGAATCCGTAATAGTCCCGTGTACAACATGCTGGTACCACTATATTCTCATCTTTTTTAATTTCTTTCCCCTTATTCAGCTTCATCATTCCATTATTCTTGTTATAATTGACGTCTTATCAAAGACAAATTTTTGTTTATTTTTTTTCCCTAGGTGGCCGAGTTGAATAATGAAATCGTTGGTGTTATTCAAGGCACTATAAAGGTGGTAACCCTCCACAAACCACCAAAAAATGCAGCAAAAGTAGGATATATGTTGGGACTGAGGGTTTCTCCGCTTCATCGTAGAAAAAGGATTGGTTCGAAACTAGTACGCCATATGGAAGAATGGTTCATCTCCCATCAGGTTGATTACGCTTACATGGCAACTGAGAAAGACAATGAAGCCTCTGTCAAACTTTTCGTCAACAAGTTTGGCTATGTCAAATTCAGAAATCCAACCATTCTCATCCACCCGGCAGCTAGTAACCCGAGATCATTCCGTTCACCGCCAGGTACTATTACGTACAAGCATCAAGCTATTCAGTGGTGGATGTAAAAGTAAACAAAAATAAAGTTAAATATACATCTCAAAACTATACATTGTATTTTCAGGTATAGAGATAATGAAACTCAAGGTGGAACAAGCTGAATTCTTGTATCGAAAAGTGATGAGTTCAATGGATTTCTTCTCGCACGATATAGACAATATTCTTACAAATAAGCTGAGCTTAGGAACGTGGGCGGCCTATTGGCGAGGTGAGCCATCTGCTGGGGAATTTGGAAGAGATGGAAAGGTTCCAAATAGTTGGGCCATGATGAGTGTTTGGGATAGTGGGGAAATATTCAAGCTGAGGGTAGGGCAAGCAACATTAAATTGTTTCCTCTATGCAAAAATGTCAAGACTAATGAGAAAGGGATTCTCATGCTTCAAAGCTCCTTCAATGCCGGAATTCTTTGAACCTTTTGGTCTTTTCTTCATATATGGAATTTTCAGGGAGGGACCATCATCAAGGAAGTTGGTACGAACACTTTGTAAATTTGTGCACAACTTGGCCACGGCGTCTAAGGATAATTACAGCAGCAGCTGCAATAAGGTGGTTGTCACAGAGATTGGATGTTGTGACAAGCTAAAACTAGACATCCCACATTGGAAGTTACTATCATGTCCGGAGGATTTGTGGTGCATAAAAGCCTTAAACAATAATGAAGATATAGAAGCCTTCCTTGAATTTACAAAAACCCCACAAAATAGAGGCCTTTTTGTAGACCCCAGAGAGGTATGATATATGAACAAAAACCAACCACCCAAAAATATTGTACTATCAATTAATTTTCCTGACTTTGCATGCCCTGATTTTAGCAATAAGCAAAAAAAAAAAAAAAAAAAAAAAATTA